AGTAGATGCAAAAAAATCATCTTCTGATTTGCAGAGACCTGGAAAACTCACATATTCAAGTCAAACTCAAGTTTGATTTAAGTTTTAGCAACTTAAACATTAGGTGAAATATTTTTTTAAAACCAACATTTAATTTCAACATTTCCTATGGGAATGATCCTGTCTCTGGAATGCTGAAACATCTCCCCTTAACATTTCCCAAATGAAACTTTGCAGCTTTTCGACTCAAAAGCTGAATTTTCATCAAAGAAAGTTATTTTGTTTTAATTTGCAAATGGTTTAGACAGCCTGCAAATGAAATAAGACATGAAATGGCTGCAGGGAAGGTAACACAGGACGCAGCAAAACCAGCAGCAGAACAAATACCATCTGCGAGGCATGTTCGGTCTGAGCGTTGCTATTTAAACAGGGCAGCAATATCCCGCTGCCCAGAGCGGCTGGAGATGGGAGCCTGGCTGCACGCGATGCCAAGCACCGTGGGACAGCAGCGGGGACCTCCGGGCTCACGTGCAGAGCAATGTAGCACTGCCCGGTAAATAAACATGAGGCCCCAGAAAATTGGTGCCCTGTGACCGGATACACTTTCCCAGGACATGTGAATAATCCTTGTTTAACTTACGGCTCTGAGAATGGCATTGTGTGGATCCAGTTTGTTTTAATAGGGAGAAATTAAACTTCACACAAGTGCTACGGCTCTTTGCAAGGAAACGTGAACCAGGAGCAGCGCTCGGTGCAGGATGGAGCTGGGGAACGTGCCATGTGCAGGCACAGAGCTGATCTGAAATAAGGGGACTTTCCAGCAGCACCGCTTCCAGGGCTTGGTTTTCTTTATCGCGAGAAAAGACGTACCCTGGGGCCACGAGAAAGGACGAGATGCTACAATACTGCTGCGATAACCTTCAGCGTTGAAAGATCTTGCTTTCTGTGCGGAGCTCGGTGGAGATCACAGCCCCAGCAGCCCTACTCAGGGATTAAAGACGGGCTCAGAAAGAATTACATCGCAATTTGGCATATTAAGGTTTCTTTGGGTTTCTTCTAAGCACCAGTGTTGCGTATAGAATAGGATAAAGGAGATATCAGCTAAACCCACTGAAGGTCAGAGGTACTTTTGAGATGCAACGAGCCACAGGAGGAAATGAGACCTCCTCGCTCTGTACAAAGCATCAGCAATAATGAAGGCAAAGTTATTCCAAAACCCTGGGCTGCATCAGTGTCTCTGTGCTAGCCCAGAAAACAATTATCTGGAGAAAGCAGGTCACACCTACACTTCAAAGTCATCTGACTGGCCTCCAGATACTGCTGGGAACAGGCTCAAAGGACTGCAACACCCATCACGGGGCAACACCTATGGGAAAGCTTCTGAGGAGTTCATCCTAATTCATCCCTTCGGGAAATGAGATTCACGACACTCGCCTCCCGCTCGGGAGGTCTCTCGGAGGTGCCCGTCCCCGCAGCACGGGGATGCTGAGACTCACATGGTCCCCCATGGAAAAAGCTCAGGGTGAGCAGCAGGACTTCATTAACCTGGGATGAAATAGTAAATTACGGTCAAAATGAGTAGGGTTTGAATTTAGGTTAGCAGCCCAAGTTTAACCCAAAGGCTTTAATTTAAGCAATTAACCTAAATTACAGCCTTGACTTTACTGATAATTAAACTGAGATTAGGTAGCACAGGTGAACCAACCCAAGTCAGTAAGACATGCTCTTATTTTACAAATATATGTATTTTTGCAAACAAGACTCACAGGGGCACTTGTAAAAATGTCAGCCTTGTCTGAGAAAGGGCATCCATCGTCGGACGAAGGCTTCCGAGGCGGATGCTGGAGGGGAGCAGCGGTGCTGAGAGATGGAGAGGAGGTGATGAAAAGCTGTTGGAGGTATCCCACGTTCGCTGGCTGGGTGCACAGAAAACGGTTCAAATTTCTCACTAAAGGGGCTGGAGTTGCCTTTATTGCCCTGACAGAGTCAGAACTCGCTTTGCTGATCTCAAAGGAGAGCGATTACCTTGATATCAGCACGATGGCAGAACCAAACTCAGCCAAGACTTTACTCCCAGGTTTACAGCACGGGGTAAAGGCATCTCCTGCCTCTTGGTCTGGGACTTGTACCCACTGCTGCTTGCTGCCTCTGCTCAGCCTGGTAGGAAGAAACGAGGAGGGGAAGGGAAGAAAAAGGCTTCGGAGCCTGCTCAACCTCGCAGACGGCCTCTTGCCACGTCAGGGGGGGGTCTTGCCCAGCGGGACCTGCTCAAACAGGGACCTGCTCCTGTTTGATTAGGAGGAGAAACTACAGAGCAGCTTGAGCGAGCACAAGCATTATCCTCTGGTGGAGGAGAAGTCCGTATCAGAGCAAGCTATCTGCATCAGAGCAGCAAATTCATTACGTGCCTGGAGCTGCAGGGTGCACGGGAGACACTCCCCCAGGAGCTACCTGGAAACCCTGTGTTTCATCAACAGAGCAGGGTGGGGGCCCCCCCTTGCCATCACCCCATACCCCAAACCTGTAGCTACAGCTCCTTGTGCTCACAGTTCTGCCTTTTGTAATTACCTCTCAAATTCCTTCCAGATGAGTGACAACCGCATCACCTCCACCCTAGTGCAAATGTGAAATGGAAAGAAATTAATTTCTTTTTACTTGGTTGGAGGAGCTGTATTATTACTATTATTAACAATGGACTCCAACGCAGTTGGCGTATTCTTTAGGCAAAAAAGACAAGTTTCATATGTAAAAGGAGCCTGAGGGGAAAAAGGAAAGTACTGACGCATCACGCTGTTAGTAACCGAGGGTGGGTTTCAGCCTGGCTAACTCTGCACACCCTGAGTCAGCCATCTGCTCTACCCACATAGTGTCGGTGAAGGTGCAAAGACATCTTCAGGGGCTGCCCCCTCCACCCACCTTAGGATGGGAGAACCTGCCATTTGGTGGATATCTCCACCGACTGCACGAAAATACCGAAAAGCTTTCAGATAGTCAAATTACATGAGATGGACAGCACCCCAGAGAGCAATTCCCAAAGGAGCCACAGGGATTTACAAAGGCTGGCAACTTGCATCTGCCTCTGAAGATCTGCTATCTGGGGCTTGCACCTCACGCGAATCAAGCACGCCACGGCGGGGAAGTCAAATCTCATGCACGCAAGTCATGACATCTGTCAATTGGTGGGCAAAACCCGAAGGCTGATCAACGATCCGCTGCCTTTCAGATGCAGACCTCTCGGTTGCAACCCACTTCCAGTTTCCGTGGGTGCAAACGTGCAGACAGTCGGACCCAATGAGACAGCCCCGCTGGGCGAAAATCGCAGAATTAAGCCCTGCCTTACAATAAAAGCTCCGTCTTGTAACAGACGGCAAAATAAACTAATAATTGCCATTTATTCCCCCCCTTCATTTAAACAACTCAATTGCAAACACAATGCATCTGAAAGAAAGCAGTTGGGGAAACAATGGGGAGACACAAAGTATTTCTGGGAGTTTCCTTCACCCGGCTACTGTGCAAGACAGGGGCAGACCGAAGCACAACACCCCTCCACCGTGGTGATTCCTCAATATTACGTTATTCCTGTACTGGAATACAGCAGCAGCTCGCACTTGCAGACAACACGAGAGGAAGCTGTTTCAGGGGGGATGCATTTGCAAGTTCACCCTCTTGTATAAATAAATTATGTATGAATCATCTTTTCCTGTACAACCAAAACCACAATGAGGGCCAGAAACACTTGCCACCCCTCAAAATGATTTTTTTTTCCACATTTTTCTATTTGACTTGTTACTCAAACTGCCTGCAATGCTAAATGCAAAGCAAAGGGCTGCGTTGGTACCTGCGGCTGAGAAAGGAAAGATCCAGGATGTCTTACTGTGTCCAGGTCTGGGCAGAGGGAATCCTGTAGAACACTTTCCTAGTGGGTTCAAGCAGGCAGGATCACACTTTCAGATGTGCAGTGCTGAAAGAGCTGATTAAATCGTTGGGAAACTACGTCGTGTTTATAAACTGTGAGTTGGGAACAGCCCCGGAGCACTCCATTTCCATAGGGCCAGTGGATTCAAAGCAGTTCCCATTCCCACAATCTTTCCTTCTTTCTTTTTTTTTGGGGGGTGTTTTTTTTGTTGTTGCTTGTTTGTTTCTATCCTGCTAAAATACCCAAGTCCAAATTTTCAAAGCCGAGGTACTAACACAAGTAGTTGTAATAGAGCTCGATGGCAGCTGGCAAAATCCACACATGAACATGAAAGACCTTGTCAAAACATTTCATTTTAATTCCTTTAATTTTTTTAGTGAAAGAAGAATAAGTCTGCAGAAGCAGGATTTTTCAGAAGAGATCGGCTCAGGGAGCTGAGCCTTTATAGGGATGGAAGGAAAACTATTTCTACAGATCCATCGCGGTGGCATAGAGGGGACCATGCAGCGCACATCACAAAAACCCAGGATAAAACAATTCGCTGCAGGGCTTGCTGTAAAACACCGCTCTGCCCAACACAGATCCCTTTCCTATAACACACGGGACTGTAACTTTTCAAAACCCTGCTGGTGAACAGAACAGGGGCGAAAGCAATCCCGAGGGATGAAGTTTTCAAATGAGAGAGGTGTTGAGTGACAGGCATTTTGAACGGTGTTTTCCTCCCTGTGCCCAAAGTGACTCACTGCAACTTTGAAATGCTTTGATATGGCGAAGAGTCTGGCTGTCTACAAAGACGGCAGAAGGCGACAGTTATTCCCAAACAATACCACTGTTGCTCAGAACCTGGCTATATTATTTCAGAAGGGCGTGTGTGCGGAGTGAGTTCACTCTCCAGAATGCTGTTGGACATGCCAAGCCTAATTAATCAGAAAGATGATCCACCTCATCAAACCCATCCCAGTCTCATACATGCATAAAAGGGCTCTCCTGAGCCCGTGGAGAGCACAGGTTCATCTTTCTCCTCTCCCTCCTACTCCTTGCTCCAGGCCAGCACCTTTGCTCCTTTATTCTTGCTGTAGCATCCATCCCAATCCCAAAGCTAGCAATGTCTCGCCAGTCCACCGTGAGGATTCAGAGGGGAAGAAGTGGCTTCAGCGCTGCTTCGGCCATCGTCCCAAACACCTGCCGCACCAGCTTCAGTTCACGCTCTGTCACCCGGGTCGGAAGCTGCAACGCTGGCAGCGGGTTTGCTAGGGTTGGTGGTGGCTTTGGAAGCAAAAGCCTCTACAATGTCGGTGGATGCAAGAGGATCTCCGTGGCTGGCAGGGGTGGTAGCTTCTATGGATCTGCAGGTTTTGGTGGTGGCGCTGGTAGCATGTACGGTGGTGGCTTTGGCATGCCAGCTAACCTTGGCTATGGATATGGTGCATTTGGTGGTGGCATGGGTGGCCCTGGATTCCCAGCTGGGGGCATCCACGAAGTCTCCGTCAACCAGAGCCTTCTGAAACCTCTCAACCTGGAGATTGACCCCAGCATCCAAAGGATCCGAAAGGAGGAGAAGGAACAAATCAAAACCCTCAACAACAAATTTGCCTCCTTCATTGACAAGGTGAGACATGAGCTTCCCTAAATATCTTGTCCTGATTTTTCTGATGGGGGACTCTTTTCTTAGCTGCTTTACAAGCACATAACCTGATCAAGAAGGAATAGCAGTGAGGAATGAGACTGGAAGATACCCAGTCTCCAGAAACTCCAGGGAATGGTACCTACTACATAGTGGTTGCTATGAATTAATCATCCAGTATTTGAGGTCCTCCTCATCTGCTGCTTGACATCTCGTAGGCAGTGGAGAAAGCAAGCTCTACAAGACAACCCCATCCTTCTGGAGATGTTGGGCTCTCTCCACTGAGCATTATAGGAGATTGATAACATTTTTTTAGATGGTTAAAGTGGGATGCAAGCAACCCATCTAAAGTGACCAAGAAAGGAATCACATGAATTTGCACTGGGGAGAAGTAAGCTTCTCATTACTTGAATTTTCCTCAAAGGCATTTAAAGCTACCACTGAAACAGTACCAGCATGTTTGGACTGTTAGTTCAAAATAGCAAAATCTGATCCGACACTGTCCGTCCACTTCATTTCCTTGTTAACTGTATTAGATGTACAAGAGCATCTGCTTGATTTCTGTTCTGGTTGAGCAGCTCCTCTTTGGTTTCAAGGAAAATGCCACATTATTTTGGAGATTTTGTGGGGTAGGGGAGCTATACTGAAGGGAAGGAGAAATGGCACTTTACTATTGTTTTCTTAGTAAGAGTGCAAACCCTGTTTTGCTCTTATCTGATTTTTTGTGCGCACTCTTCACACAAAATGCACGCACCTTGTCTTGATTTAGCAAAGCTACGAAGGGGAAGCGTGGTGCAAGAAAATCAGAAATCATTCCAGAGTTTGTTTGCAATGCTGAGCAGGGTCCCTGCAGTCAAATAGCAAATTCCTTCTTCTACCAGATGAGAATTTGGCTATGAAAACCAGCTGGAAAGAATACTTTACCACCTCAGCTGGGACTGAGATCCCCTGTTTGCAAGGAAAGCTCTCCAGAATCTCTGTTCTTTCAAAACATCTTCAGGATATTTCTGCTTGCAGGTCCGATTCCTTGAGCAACAAAATAAAGTGCTGGAAACCAAGTGGAGCCTGCTTCAGGAGCAGGGGATGAAAACAGTTAGGAACAACTTGGAGCCGCTTTTTGAGACTTACATCAACAACCTCCGGATGCAGCTGAACAATTTGCTGAGCGACAAAGGAAGGCTGGAAGGAGAGCTTGTCAACACGCAGTACCTGGTTGAGGATTTCAAGAAGAAGTAAGTCCATTGAGCTAGCGGTCTACTTACCTAGGTAGGTGCAGCCTTTCTCCATTCAACATCCTTAAGCCAACTGGGAGATCCGGGAGCGTCCGGGACACAGGAATTCCCGACAGTGAAGGTTGTGACGTTTTCTCAAGATAAACGGTAACGGAGTAACAGATCCAAATACAAAAACATTTAGGGAATAATTTAGAATACGATCAAAGACTTATTAACTAAATTACCTACTGAGAAAAAAAAAATTACATGGTAGGTCTGAGAGTTTCAGGACAGCGTGCTTTATTTGCTTAAGAGAGGCAGGAGTATGACTAATGGCCAGAAATAGGAAAAAAGGAATGGATTCTTTAAAATTTTTTTGGTGTACTTGTTTTAACTAGTTTAGCCTAGGAACATGCTCATGGTCTCTTATTCAGATGCTCTGTAGGAGAAAAGAACAATGTATGCAAAATGCTCTTAAGGAAGTTCATTCCAGCAAACTAAAATCACCTCTGTCTGTTACTTGCCTAAACAAATGCTCCTTCTGCCTCCCTCCATTAGGTATGAAGATGAAATCAACAGGCGTACAGTTGCAGAGAATGAATTTGTGACACTCAAGAAGGTGAGAGGAAATTACAGAATACCATCTCATGACTATTTGTAGAGCTCTAATCACCTATTCATTCACAAATCCATCCATTCATATTCCAAAAGCTTTTTTTACGGTTTCTTCCCTGGACTGTTATTCCAGAGATACACGTGTTCCTGACCTGCTAATAAGAGTTTCAAGCGCATTACCTAAATCTCTCGTCCTCCAGGATGTAGATGCTGCCTATATGAACAAGGTGGAACTACAAGCCAAGGTAGATGCGCTGATTGAAGAAATTAATTTCCTGAGAGCCCTCTACGAAGCAGTGAGTACAACCAGCTCCCAAGACATTTCAACTCTCATTTAAGAGCTTCCCTCCCTCCTTTCCTCTGAAAGCCTGTAATTTCTTCCCCCAGGAGATGCTAAATCCTTTACCTCTTTAGAGTTACACCAACCGTCTCTTTAGATAACAATCTGTAGCCTCTCCCAGGTCTGCACGCTCATCTGGAAGGATGAAAAGGCATCTCCCAAGTGAATTGGCTCACCTAATCCCCTGTGCACTTTGCAGGAGCTGTCTCAGATGCAGACGCAGATCTCCGACACCTCTGTCGTTCTCACCATGGACAACAACCGAAACCTGGACCTGGACAGCATCATCTCGGAGGTCAAAGCGCAGTACGAGGACATCGCCAACCGCAGCCGGGCTGAAGCAGAGTCCTGGTACCAAACCAAGGTGAAGAAACTGGGGGTTTCCATGCTGTTAGCTTCATGTCTTGTCTTGAACAGATAAAGACTGACTCTTCCAAGAAAAACCTTCTCAAATATTGCACCTTGTACAGCAGCACTCCAGCTGCTAGTCTGGGCTCAAGGAGGGACCCATGCTCTCAGGCACCTGGGTTACTCCAAAACCAATGGATTTTTACCTTGACTGGTTGTTCCTCTCTCCGTGACAGTACGAAGAGCT